TATAATGAAAATGATCATTTCCAGATAGTATAAACATGAGTGTTTAATATGATACTCTCTGTACTGTTTAAATTTTGTATGTTTAAAATTTTGCAACAAAAACTTCATAATGTTGATGCACACTCCCAGTTAATTACCATTACTTTATGAGATTTTTTGAATAAGTTAATTTTTAAATGCTGCTATTGAAAATCTTTCTGAAAAGTTCTGGCACACAATACTTTTCAGACTTTACAAGGACAGAACATAAAAATTTATAATTTGTTCTGTAAACACAATGAGTAGGAAAGAGTACAGAGCAGGCAGACTGCACTGAAGTAGGGATGCCAGCCAAGGATGAGTGCCATGAAGCAGCCCCGGGGGTGTGGGTCGGCCCCTGGTCCAGGGCTGCAACTATCTTCCCCACTCTTTTTTTTTTTTTTTTTTGAAACAGAGTTTTGCTCTTGTTGCCCAAGGTTGAGTGCAATGGCACAATCTCAGCTCACCGCAACCTCCGCCTCCTGGGTTCAAGCAATTCTGCCTCAGCCTCCCAAGTAGCTGGGATTACAGGCGTGCGCCATCATGTCCCACTAGTTTTGCATTTTTAGTGGAGATACTGTTTCTCCACATTGGTCAGGCTGGTCTTAAACTCCCCACCTCAGGTGATCCACCCCCCCCCCCTCGGCCTCCCAAAGTGCTGGGATTACAGGTGTGAGTCACCGTGCCTGGCCTTTCCTCGCTCTTAAAGCAGACCAGGAATTAGCCTCTCTGACTGCAGCGTGGCCTCCCTTTTATTAGCTATCCTACAAAGACCTGGTGAGGTCTTTCTAGAGTGTAAATCTGAATGACCCCCGTGTACGCTCCGAGGCCCATAGATAAATCCCTGCTCCTCAGTGGGATGATCCAGGACCCTTCCCTTAGGCTCCTCTAGTCTCACCTCCCACTGCATGCCCCCAAATACATGATGTTTTTCATGGTCCCTCAGATAGAACTTTATGGAAATTCTCTGCCTTCAACTATGTTTAGTTTAAGGACACTTCTCCATGAAGCTTTAATTCCCTCACTCAGAATGAATCATTCTTTTCACTTGGGTAGGCTTTGCACTATTCTGTTTAATTTCTACTGCAGAGCTCCCTAGCTGTGGATACCTATTGGAAAAACTAACAGAAAGGTTCAGCATTCCTTAAGAACACAAACTCTGGATTCAATTCTATGGACCCAACATCTACGAAAGGGCCTAGAATACACTGGGTTCTCAATGAAAACCACTGGACTGAATTCAGTAATCATTCCTTTGCTTTTCAAGTTCAAACCTATGTAGAAATCTTAGACTTTCACTAAACAATTTTTTCTTTACTAAAATTTAAGTCTACACACTTTGGGGGTAATCTGGTCCACAAACAAGCACATTGAGAACTACTGCCAATCAGGAGAAACCTAATGCTGACCTTTAGAATTTATTCTAACAGATTCTCCAGAGAGTAACTTTGGTAGCTAGAATGACTCATTTATCAATATGACATGAAATGACCACTCTCTCCTTGAGTCTGTTTTCTTCCAAAGAACATGGCAGAACTTATAAACTACAGAACTTAGAAACATAGGCTTTAAATGGGACACAGGAGCTGTCTGTAGAGGCTGAAAGGGACAGTAAGAGGCAGACACCTCCTTTCCTTCTGCCTAAAACAAGTAGTTTTTCAAACCTGATTCAATGGAGTAGCCCAAGAGGCCATTACTAAGGATTTGAGAGGGTGAGCTTCAATTAGAAACACGAATTTTGCTGCTTTAAAAAGGTTAGAAAACATCAGCATAAAGAACTCCACCACATCCTTCCCCAGGAAGTAAAGAGAAGCTTATAGGCAAGAAGGCTCCCAAGGAAGACACATAGCCTCCAGTATGGGTAAGCCACTTTTCCAACTCCACAAAGGAACAGACAAATTCAAGCTTGCCCTTGGTCTTCACGTGAAGACCAAAGACCTTTGTCTACCCGTTCGATGTCTGAAGTGGTGACCAGCCTGGTTGGGGCAATGCCCACAAGGACGGTTCCTGGGATGGTCAGCCACCTGCTCCAGGAAGCCTTCTTACATCTTCCCAGGCAAAGCACAGTGTCTCTTTTATGCTTGGATACTTCCTGCCACTCCCCCTTACTCCCCACCTACCCAGAAGCTATCCTTGTTGTCTTTTGTCTCAATTTTCTGTAGCGAATTTATCTCAGCAGCTAGTGTGGGAGGCCAAGAAGACCATGGCTATCAGCCTGACCCCATGATGACCTCAGTACAGATGCTTGTCCCGGCCTCCTCACAAACATGCTACTAGACTCCAGAGCTGAACAAGGGGATTTGGATGGAGCTGGGACACCAACAGAGTTGAGTCCATATCCTGGTAGTGGCTGGTTAGGAAGGTTAAGTACATGGCCTTTAGGATAAAATGTTCATGGAGGGAGTGAAAGCAGCACCATCTCCTGCAAGCAGGGGACAGTCAGCCTTACTCTCTGTGACTGTCCTGGTGATGAGCAGCTCTGTCTCCAGGACCATGTCATCCCCTCAGTTACTCATGACCCTCACAGCGTCAATCCAAACTAAGTCCACATTTTGTCCAAGGGCTCAAAGTTAAAATGTGGATGCTAAGTGAAGGGCTGGTAGCAAAGGATGAATGCCCAGCACCAAAGACTTGTGAGGGGTGACAGCGTGCTGGCGTGAAGCCCTCTGCTTGAAAACATTCTCCCACTTCCGCTAGATAAAATTTTATCTAAAGGAGCAATTCGTTTAGAATGCAAAAAGATCTGAGTTCAAATTCTGACTTTACCACTTACTAGGAAGGCTTTGTGACCCGTCAACCGCACTCTCTCAGCCACAGGTTCCTCAATATTATGCCCCAAAAGCAGAATACTGTAAATCACTCCATAGTGAGCTTAAATGAGGGAGCATGCATTGGGATGCCTTTCATCTTCCAATTCCCAAACTTCAGAGTACCTCTCTGTGAAGTTCATCCCTGGGATGCCCCCTACCACATTTGATTTTGGCTGCTCCTGCTAACACTTACCCAAAGTGCTTCAATAGTTTACATTCCCATTTACACGGCCAGCTCCCTGAATACGGGATTGGCTGTTAACTGCACGTCACAGTGAGCACCATGCCTGGAACACTCAGTTGGTGTTAGCAGACGGAAAAACAAAGGACTCCATTTTTCCAAGAATAATATGGGAAGAAAGAAGAGAAGAAACTACAAGAAGATGGAGGTGCTTCTTAGAGCTTAAATGCTGAGCCAGTTGCTATCCTACTGCTTCTGTCTCTGTCTCTTCCTTGTGCCTGCCCCAAAGGAGAGCCGGCCAGGACAGAAAGTCAGGGGACTGTTTCTTTTTTATTAGCAGTAATTTTTTTTTTTAGAAAAATGCAAATACAGCTGTCTATTTTTACATATGCACATGTATAAAGCAATAGGAAAATTGTTTCTATGGAAGAAAACTCTAAAATTCACTAAGTGAGAAAAAGAGTGCTTCCTCCATCCCATGGGAATCACTTCTGATCAGTAGAGCTTTACTCATCACTTACTGGGCTTTCGGTTTAGGGCTGTGTGCCCTGGTGGGTCCATAGAAATCACATAGACAGTGCAGAAATACAGCAATTCATATCACCACAGATGGCAACAACATTGTTATTTGTAAACTTTTGTACATCATTAATTCATTAGCTCAGAGAAACTAGAAACAGAGTCAGAACTTGAGCAAAAACTGGGGTAGTTACATCCATATAGAGAGTATTGCACCTTTGGTTAAAAAGCAGGATCTATAAAGTTATCTTAGTCTTCCAACTGCTCAGCCAGTGCAGCTAAAAGCCAGCCACCATCAGCCACACGTGCGAGCGAGCCAGCATGCTGCCCACTGCAGAGGGCACACCAAATGCTCCTTCCTATTCACTTGTCCTATTCCACAGCCAGCCTTGTTTGCATAAAAAAAGTCGAAGGACTTTGGGAAGAATCCCAGTGTTCATCATTCAGTGTTATGAAACTACACTGTTTTTCAGTTCAGAACAAAACCACAAATTTAATTACTGTATAGAAAAATATCGGAACAGAACAAAAAAAGGCACATGGGAAAGGCTTCGATATGGGCCCAAATCAATTTTTATTATAAATGAAGTCTCCTTCTTGCAAACTATAATTGCTTTACATTTCTAAAATAGGGCATTATAGAAAAATAAACGTCAGGTATGTTTTATTATAAATTTTAGGAAGGAAAAAAGTAGAAAGAAGTTGAATTTTAAAAATTACCAATGCCCCCATTTTTCCTATAAAATATATTCTGAGACTGAAAAATGAGGCACAAGTAAAAAAATTTTTAAGTAAACTCAAGTACAAATGAAACTGCAAACGGGTTTGATCAAGAGCTTTCCCATCTCTAGGATCTATCTTTTTTTTTAGAGGCCACTCCTCAGATTTCTATTTTAATAAGAGTGTCATTTACTTAAAAAACAATAGTAAGCAATGTGGAAGAAATGTGGCTGAAAATACTCTGCTAGAAGAGATGTGCATCAAAAAGATGCATTTTTTTTAATAAGTATTCTTATAAATACATCAAAAGCACAAATGAAAATTTCTAAATTTTTTTAAAAAGTAATTTCATGATCACTTTGGAAATTATTCTTTCTAAATAATTTCTACTCAATATTGCATCTCTGGATTTTTTTTTTTTTTTTTTTTAA